CCGCCACCGCCTTCGATCGGCCGCCGCCATTTTTTGCCCGAGCCGCCGCGTTACTAACCCCCTGAAAACATTCCGCCTGGAAATGCGTGCCTCCCGATCGAGGGTGCGCGCAGAGGCCGGCCAGGGGTGTAACGCGCCGGGGCGTACGCGGCCGGCACGCGAGGGCATAATATTCGCGCCCGCCGCGCGCCCCGCGTTACCCCCGTCCCCCGTTTCGTGAAAATGAAAAGTGAGGATACGGATTTAGAGCCGTAAGAGAATTACGATTGCAACGTTTAGACCGGGCTGCACCGAAGATGGAGATTTGATTATCATTGAGATCGCGTCTCGGAGATTGAGATTTGATTGATCGATCGTTAAAACGGGGAATAATTGAGATTAAAATTGGAAATCCTTAAGCTCGCGCTATAATTACGCGAATCAATGGCGCGCAGCCAATTTTTGATCAATGATTGAACAATATTTAATCCCCTCAAAGCAATTTTAATCTTAATCTTTAGCGCCAATTTTTTAGCGATTGACTGAACAATTTTTAATCTCCCCGAAGCAATTTTAATTTCAATCCTTAACGCCAATCTTTGATCATGATCGAGCGGTCTTCAATGGCCCAAAAAACAATTTTAATCTTAATCTCTAATGCGTAATCTAATACAGGCTTTAATCTGCAATGGACAATGTTTATTAATAATTAATTGGAGCAGTTCGGTGTCCGAGAAAGAAGACTCGGATCAAAAGATTCTCTTTTTTTTTATAACGAGACCCTCTTGAGTTATAATTGAAAAGAATTATCAGGAATTTTTATTGGACACTTTTATTTTATTTTGCGTCCAGTACATTTGATTTTTTTTCTCGTGTTTTCCATATTTCTGTTTTGTTCTTTCAAAATGCGTCGTGCGTAAATATAAATTCGTAAATTAATTTTTAACAAATTTACTACTTTTAATATAAAAATAGATGATATATGTGTACGGGTCCGCGAACCCCCGTGCGCTCCAGTTACGCGAGATGTCTTCACCACTTCGGTTAAGGGTTAAATTGACCATTACATGGAGAAGATTCAGCAAGAATACCCAATTGCCTAGATAGAGAGTAGTTGAAAATTCAATGGTAGCTCGGCGGGGTAAAACAAAAGATTGAAAACACACAGTGAAAACGCTATTGTGTTAATCACTTTTTAACGGAATAGCTTGCCTTACAAACATTCGAAACAATTTTTAAGTTGAAATATACATGATTTCAACACACAAATTCCTGACATAAACGTTCAACAAGCATTTAGTTGCAAAAAGAAATAAATAGATTGTTTAAGATTTAATTAATACATGAAAAACAAGGAACTAAAATAGGCTGTTCCTTTTTTATATAGAAAGTATTTAGCACTAACAACCAGTTCGATCTAATTAACTTTCTTTCCTTTGTTTTTGATGTAAGAAGACTAGCTTTCAAATCTTATTCATGTTAAAATAAAATAAAATAATTTCTTGTGTCTCAATATATGTTTATATTATATCGGCTAGAATTTAATTATGTCGGGCTTCCAGTTTTTATTTTCGTAAGTATATTACACTAAACCTTTCGTGAGAAAGAACAGTTGAGGATAATACTTTTAGTTCACACCGAGTCACACAATTTCTTTAAGTTTATTATATCAAATTTGTTATATTGTACTAAATAATGTTAGTAAATCTTTTCTATGAATGAAATGATATAGAATTTAATAAATGCGTTTATTGAAGGAAGACGAGAGATTTTTGTAAATGTTCACTTTTTTTATTTGACTATATAAAGAAACTTGAGCTTTTAAATGTTGGAAATTTTTATTATTTGGAAATAATTGAAGCAATTAAAGGATCTTTGCATTTCTATGTAATATGCATATAAATTTTAATATACATGTGTAGACATATGTAAATTTTTTAATAATATAATATCCCTCTCTACAAAAATGTAATAAAAATTATATTACATTGTAAGTTGTTAGACACATTATAAGCACAGTTACGGATTCCTTACTTACTTTACACTCGCGTAAATTATCGTGATAAGAAATTTAAGGAAAGAGCTTCCTTACATGTCTCTTGCTATTTTCAGCTTTCGTTTATACACGGAGAGAATTTTCTCTTAAAATTCACCCTGAAAATCGTGTAATCGTGGGACAACATGGCACTTTCAAGAACTTTATGAGAGTATTTTGAAATTTTACCATACATTTTACTAGGAAAATGCGTGGAAAACTTTCAAAAAACTCTCATAAAATTGTTCGAAATGCCGTGGTGTCCCACGATTACATGATTTTTCTGGATAAATTTTAAAAGAAAGTTCCCTCCGTGTATAAATCGTATTTTTAAATATTATTCTTAATACATAAAAACACTTTATAATCACGGTTCCGAGTAAGCGCGTGTACAGTCCTGCATGAGGGCCGCGGGCTTTGTTGATTGGTTAACGTGCCAGGTGAGTCTGACTATTATCGGAATGTCATCACTGAATTGCCCGTCATAGCTAGCTTCAAAGCCTACAGCCAAAAATCAATAGAACAAGAGCGTTTATTGTCATAGATTGTATCTTATCAACACACGTTCGCTTTTGCCTCGCGCGTTTATTAATTTGTTATCTCGGCACAGTTTGTTATTTACAATACCACACACGTGAAAAACAAACGAGAAAAAAATTAATGCATCTTGTCGTACAATTAAATGGCAAAGTAAACAGAGCTTTACGGAAAAAAATAAATTCCGGCAAAGTGTGTTGAACGATTTGTGTGTACATATTAATCTCTCTCTTTTTTTTAATTAAAGTTTAATTTAACATCCAGACGGAGAAAAATCAATATAATGGTATTTATATTTCAATTTTTTGTATTCCATATATAGCGATCGATAATGAATTTATTAATCCATTAAAGTTTGCTTCGATTTTAATGTGCCGTTCTTTCAAATCAATTCGCGTTTATTAACAACTACAACGTGTCAAGAAATTAATCTAAAAATAACGTACAACAATGAAAACCGGTATCAAACAAGATGCTATCGTACACTTGGCGGTGTCACTGAAGAGACCAGCCTCACGACGATAGAAATAAATTTATTATGTGCCTAGAGGTATTGATTTTCGTGCTGAACATTAATTAACCCCACGTTCTTCAACTGTCCGGTTTATTTGCAACACCCCGTATATGGCGCTATGAATTTCACCAGTTTGCCGTAGAGCTCCCCTTTATTACTTTAGAAAACTCAAGTTCCACGTAATCCGGTTAACAGCAGCACCTCATACTTAATCGTGTTCAACCGGTGACCTATTCTGCAGGATCCTGACGATAAACGGATGATCCCGGGGGGATAATAAAGAAGGAGGTAATCCTGGCGAAAATCTTACAACGGGACTCATTCAACAAGATAACAATTTCATTTAATAGTTTATTAAATTACCGATGTATCTTTATCGCATCTCACGTGGAGCACAGAAACCAGAGATACCGGTGAGAAAACAGATATATTGTTGCCAGATTGCAATATTGCAAATATACCGCGCCATGCAGCTACAGCATTATTGTAGGATAACGTTGCAATATTTGCACTTGCGGTGTTTTTTTTTCCTACTTTGTCGCTTGGCCCAATGTTATACGTTGTAATTATTTCGTTAGAGTATTTTTACGATTTCGTGCGTTAGTGCAATATTGTTGCCACACGGAGAGAATTTTCTCCGAAAATTTACCCTGAAAATCATGGGACAATATGGCGTTTCGAAGGACTGTATGAGAGTTTCTTGAAATTTTACCATACGTTCTACTAGTAATTATACTTAGTATACGTTTTACTGTAGTAAAATGTACGGTAACATTTCAAAAAACATACAGTTCTTCAAAATGCCATGTTGTCCCACAATTACATGGTTTACAGGATAAAGAAAAAATTCTCTCCGTGTACCTTGTTTAAATTTTGCACTTTTCTCCGCTTCGCTACGAAGTATTTGCAACGTTGTATTGCAATTTGCGATACAGCTAAAAGGTTCTGTGGCGTATGCGGTGTATCGTATCGTTGTATCGGTATCAAAAATCAATAACGAGAAAGCTCATAGTTTTACTATCCAATCATCTCTGAGGCAGTGAATAAATATCCCTGAGCTAACGAACAAACAACGCAGGAGGAGGGAGTCGGTCTCCTGCTACGCAAATTTATTGCAAGTCCGTTTTAATTTCTTGCACGTTATTATTTTTATTATTAAACATTAATCTCTTTAACATAAATATTTATTTCATTCCGCAAGTATATGCGCTGCGATAACGCGGTCTTGACAACAATACAGTGTATTATTCAACACAAATACAAATGCATTCAGAAACACATTATATATTTGTATTTCACTACGATAAACAACACTGCAATTAATGTAGCTAAAAACAACTTCACCTGTATTAATGAGCTGCACTAATAAGCTACTAAGACGCAAATTATTATAAAATGCTAAACAAATGTTGCACACTCTGCAACTCCATTATGTTAC